CCCAGCATGCATATGAAAGATTTCACAAAGGCCAATCAGAGCCTGCCCAAAAGATTAAAATTCATTGAAGAACTCACAGTAACTTACCAGTAACCTTTGTGCTTCATAGGGTGCAAACAGAAATTAAAAAGTTTACCAGCGTATAAACCAAGCGCAACAGATCTAAGGTATAAACTCATCAATTTAATGAAGTACATACAAATCAAATGCCAACTCCATAAAGTTTGTCGTCTGTCTTTGTTCCAGACCTCACCACCTCTCTTCTTGGCAAAGGAGGAGTTACAACCAAAGCCAGAGCTTACAACCAAAAAGTTACAAACAGAGCTTACAACCAAAGCCCAGTAGTTACAACCAACTTGGCATTCATCCTGGCTAAATAGAGCTAAACTGCAAAAGATAATTGATCTAAAATTGTGTCAAAGTATGCTCCCAACATCCTTCCATCATCCATCACCCTGCTGCATATTTTAGCAGCAAATTACCTGACAAATTATTAGGAAGTAGCGCACGAATTGCGAAATGCTAAGCTAGATTGATGACAAATAATAAGTGCAGTTTAGGAGCATTTACTAGTATTGTGGCCGAAGTTTCATCACTTCCAATAAACACTATGTTTCCTCCATTCCGAAATCCGTAAAAGCAAGAAAACCAATTCCAAACATTGTTGTTCAATGTTGCTTCAAAACTAAGGATGTAATGGTGAAAAATTAAAGATTGCAGTACCCAGAAAAAATGCCAAGCAATACAAAAAAACGAAAAGAAAACAAATTCATAGAAAACATGAAATCCCCTATGACTGTTTAAAAGCATGAACTGGATTACTGCGGCCAAGATGGATTGTTAAAGCACCATGGAATCCCTAGGACTGTTATATAATCATTTTGGAGGTAAAAAAAATGCTAAATAGCAATATTAGAGGCCTCTCTCTCTCTCTCTCTCAGGCATATCCATGTCTCTTTCTTTACATAATTCAATTTTGTCATATATAGCGCTTCTCTTTATATTTTTTCTTTCAAGGGAAATTATGTATACTTATAAGCGCTTCTCTTAATTTGTAGTTAAATTCACTGAAATGGCAGAAAATTAACGAAGAAAAGGGTGCTGATGATTCAAGTAGATTAAGCATGCACGGATCTTGAAATCTAACTTTCATAGTATAATTATTAAAGAAAGCTTAATTTGGTAAGGATTCAAGTAACTCACGGTGAAACAATATTAGTGATCGAAGTAGCGAAATTAAAAAGAAATTAAAGAAAAATAAGTTACAAGAAACATGCAGTTTGGTGATCTCCTTTTTATGTCTATTTTTCTTGATTTTTTCTTAATTACTAATAAATCGAGACCTTGATTTATTACCTGCCCTCTCTCTCGCCAAAACCAGCGCCGCCCTCCTCTCATCGTCGTCGTCGGAGCTCTCGCCGCCTCATCCTCTCCCCTAAAAACCCTGATTCGAGCTACTACTCCTCTTTCAGCAGTAGATTCGAGCTCCTCCTCCTCCTTAGCCGCTACTGCCTTTTTTCCTCTACATTGAAATGTATGTGTCTATTTCTTGCCTTTCTCTTTAAATAGTAATAGGTATGTTAATAGAGATAGCTTCACATTTTCTACCCTATAGCTGATCTTATTTTAGCTTTACATTCTTTTACCATAAAATCGAATTTATTTTCTCTAGTATTGAAATTTACATGATTGCTGATTGATAACTTTTTTTTTTCTTTTCAAGTGGTTTGGTCTCTTGCACTTAAATCTGTACTAGATATATGAAGGGTGGCTGGATGAATTCAAAGTGATGACTTCAAGCTGCAGATAGTTGGCATGTAGTCTATTAAGAGTTTATGGTTTACTGAATGCTAATTGAATGCTTATTAAAACAGTGTTAGAATTTGTTGAACCATTAAAGAAGCTTTAGTTGTCAGTTTCATAATTCTTATGAGCTTATCTAAACTGTTTGCTATTTAAGCTGCGAACGATTTAATTCCTTGCTATACCAGTTGGTATGAGAAATAATAAAACTAATATCCCTTAATTTGGTAAGAATTCAAGTAACTCAGCGTGAAACAATATTAGTGATCGAAGTAGCGAAATTAAAAAGAAATTAAAGAAAAATAAGTTACAAGAAACATGCAGTTTGGTGATCTCCTTTTTATGTCTATTTTTCTGTGATTTTTTCTTATTACTAATAAATCGAGACCTTGATTTATTACCTGACTTCGAATCGGGCGGCGGGTCGGAGGATCTCGCGGCGGAGGCGGTCGGAGGGATCTCGCGGCGGAGACCTTGGTCACGCGCGGTGAAATCGAAGAGGGCTTGGCCGATCTGATCTCGCGGAGATCGTAGTCTAGCGGCGAATGAGAAATCGATGATGGTTGCGATTTGGGAGGAGGACGGGGGAGATGAGATCGATTTGGGGATCTCTGGGGAACGCGAGAGAGTTTTGTGGAGAAGAGAGAGAGAAGATCACGAGGGGAGGGGAGGTAAATGTGCGGGTTTTTTTCAGATAAGACCCTGCAGCGCACGAAATGGGAGCGCTGGCAGCTCACCTACAGTTTCCTCATATATATATATTAATATATATATATATATATATATATATATATATTATATATGATGATTAATAGGTATCCTTGTCATAGGAGGGGATTTCCTCCTATGATGCCTCTAAAATCACATGATTGAGCGACATTGTGGATGATCGCTCCGTTGAACTTGATCTATATATTCTAAAACCCCAACACACCAAGTTTTGGGTGAACCCGTCGTCGTTTGACCCTTCATCCACCCGTATCAATTTTAACGGTTTTGAATGAATAGAACTTTTCACATGGCTCGATGGAGGGTCAAACGACGACGGATTCACCCCAAACTTGATGTGTTGGGGTTTTAGAATATGTAGATCAAGTTCAACGGAGCGATCATCCATAATGTCGCTCAATCATGTGATTTTAGAGGCGTCAAAGGAGGAAATCCCCTCCTATGACAAGGATACGCATTAATCTCTATATATGAGATTAATGAGTATCCTTGTCGCATGGAGGGGATTTCCTCCTATGACGCCTCTAAAACACATGATTAAGCGACATGTGGATGATCCGCTCCGTTGAACTTGATCTACATATTCTAAAACCCCAACACACCAAGTTTTGGGTGAACCCGTCGTCGTTTGACCATTCATCCACCCGTATCAATTTTAATGGTTTTATGAATAGAACTTTTCACATGGCTCGATGGAGGGTCAAGAGATGACGGATTCACCCCAACTTTGATGTGTTGGGGTTTTAGAATATGTAGATCAGTTCAACGGAGCGGATCATCCATAATATCACTCATCATGTGATTTTAGAGGCGTCAAGGAGGAAATCCCCTCCTATGACAAGGATACCCATTAATCTCTATATATGAGATTAATGGGTATCCTTGTCATAGGAGGGGATTTCCTCCTATGACGCCTCTAAAATCACATGATTGAGCGATATTATGGATGATCGCGCTCCGTTGAACTTGATCTACATATTCTAAAACCCACACACCAAGTTTTGGGTGAGCCCGTCGTCGTTTGACCTTCATCCCACCGTATCAATTTTAACGGTTTTGAATGAATAGAACTTTCTACATGGCTGCGATGGAGGGTCAAACGACGACGGATTCACCCCAAACTTGATGTGTTGGGGTTTTAGAATATGTAGATCAAGTTCAACGGAGCGGATCATCCATAATATGCTCATCATGTGATTTTAGAGGCGTCAAGGAGAAAATCCCCTCCTATGACAAGGATACCCATTAATCTCTATATATGAGATTAATGGGTATCCTTGTCATAGGAGGGGATTTCCTCCTATGACGCCTCTAAAATCACATGATTGAGCGACATTGTGGATGATCCGCTCCGTTGAACTTGATCTACATATTCTAAAACCCAACACACCAAGTTTTGGGTGAACCGTCGTCGTTTGACGCCTTCATCCACCCGTATCAATTTTACGGTTTTGAATGAATAGAACTTTTCACATGGCTCGATGGAGGGTCAAACGACGACGGATTCACCCCAAACTTGTGTTTGGGGTTTTAGAATATGTAGATCAAGTTCAACGGAGGCGGATCATCCATAATGTCGCTCAATCATGTGATTTTAGAGGCGTCATAGGAGGAAATCCCCTCCTATGAAAAGATACCCATTAATTCATATTAAATTTTAAGAGATTAATAGTTTACTATTATAAAGGAGGGATTAATAGTTTACTATTAACCTTACTAAAAAACTATCACATGGATCTCCTTAATTTTGTAAAAGATAAATTTCTTTAAACCTTCAATAAGTTTAGTCATTTGGCATTAAGCCTGCAAATTTTTTGAAACCTTGATAAGTTTTAGTAATTTAGAAAATCATCAAAATATTTTTATATTTTACACTTAACCCTATAAAGACTATCCCCAGAGTTCACTGACAAACATTATCCCTCATGGCCAATATATAGCTATCAAATCATTCATATTTGTCTATTAACCCATAAAATTACAAAGAACTACTAAAATATAAAAATTACAAATAGCCTTCTGATAAATATGACACTACTAACAACCCCTTTGAAAAATCTGAAATCTCAAAAACTTCTTTAAATTCTAAAAATTATAGAGAACACTAAAAAATCTAAAAATTACAAATCATACCCTTAAAATTCTTAAATTGTAGAAAACTACCTTGAAACTCCAAAAACTATAAACAGATCTCAAAAATATGAAAATTATTAACAACTTCTTGTAAATTCTAAAACTATAAAAAGGCCTCTAAAAAATCTAAAAATTGCAAGAAGAGCCTAAAAATAAAAAAAAAAAACACAAAGAATTACCATAATATTTTGAATATTGTAAATAGTTCCCCAAAAAATGAAAAATTTATAAACAATCCCTTTTAAAATCTAAAAATTAGGAACAACCTCCTAAAATATCTTAAAAGTACATAAAACCCTAAAATAATAAACAACCATTGTGTTTTCTACCAAAAGTTATTAAGGGTTAAGTGAGAAAAATCCATATCCTTATTTTGTATTTCTGTTATAAGAAGAAAAAAACTTCGACTCAAGTTATTTACTTTCGAAGAAGGAGCAATAGTCCAAGAAAAATCAAAATAATACAAATTCTTTAATGGAAATAATTTCAATTTTTAGAAGTAAAACCATAACTAAGAAGGAAATTCATACAGAATAAAAAAATTAGAGACGAAATTGAAAAACAAAATTAAGCCATCCAAGCACGGGCATAACGCTTGCGTTTAATATCATTGGTACTTTGAAATGATTCATGCCTTCATAATTATATCTATTTGTTCTTAGCTACTATTATTTTGCCTCATAAGGCCGAAAGATCGTCAGCCCACTTTTTGTCTTGGGCTTTCTAAGCTAAAAACCAAAGAGGAACCGCAATCAGGTATTCATCGGAAATACCCTTGTTGAAAGTAAAAAAATAACAAGAAAATTGAGAGATGTCTTAAGCTGATAAATACTCTAAAAGATTGTCATTTTTAACATATAAGTAGACGAAAGTTTTTTTGACTCCTTAAGTTTGTCAGACTTTGTAGACAAATAGTTTTTTGTTAACTGACCGCGAAAAAAAATATTTGTTAGAGCGTTATATTATGATAGTTACATTGGGATATCTGGGTACTTAATTTTATCATTATAAGAAAACTCCCCACTCAATATCGAAAAAGAAAAAAGAAAAAGAAAACTCCTCACCTAACCGTCATCGATCTTTTCCAACGTGTTTAACAATTGGAAATTGGAAACAGACTGTAGACAAATAATGGACGGGTGAGGATGTTGCACGCCGTGCGGAAGCGTGCTTGACAACCAAACGAGTCCGCAAGCGATGAGAGAAGAGAACCAAACCAAATATGAGTGCAATTCACCAAAATACGACACAAATCAAACCAAACACAGAGATTTCGTGGTTCGGCAATTGCCTACGTCTACGGGGAGAGGATTAGGAGATTTTACTATATGGAGGAGAAATACAACGGATTACAACTCATAAAATCACTCAAATATAACTCTACAAAAGCTCTAAACTCCCTCACAATTATCTTCCTCTCAAAGTGCTCAAAACCATGCTAATTCTCTAGTTGTTCAACCCTAGAAATCGTGTTTGTATTTTATACAAACACCCAATCCAAAACCGCCCAAGAAAAACGAAATCAGGCCCATAACCGCTTTCGGTCGACCGCACTCATTTCACTGGTCGACCGGACAGAGACACAAAACTGCACCCTGTAATGTGCATGAGATCGGTCGACCGGTCGCACCCCATTGGTCGACCAACCCGCAAATCCTGTAAAATCTAGTTTCTGACGATTGTGTCGGTCGATCGCCCTTGCACCTTCGGTCGACCGACCCTAGGGTTACTGTAGCTATTTCTTCAACTCAAATTTCCCTAATTATCACCGTGTTTTCTACAATTCTTTACCTCAGTGAAGTTTTCTCAAAACTAAATCGACACCAACATGAGCACCAATGCATCGTCTCACCAAATCCGGGTGCACCAATGAGGTTGCCTACGTACCCATCCTCTCCCAAGGGATCAAGTCGCCCGTAGTTCATCCAAATTGTCGTGAATGGCCTCAACAATCACGAATTTGCAATAAGTTTCTACAATGATCGAACTTGTTGCTCGGAACCATCTTTATGAGCATATCCGCTAGATTATCTTTTGTGTGGATCTTCACGAGCTCCACATCCCCATCTTCAAGAACATCTCGAACGAAGTGATAACGAACATCGATATACTTCGTCGTCACATGAAAGACCTGATTCTTCCTCAAATAAATAGCACTTGTGCTATCATAATAAATGATGACGGATCGCTGCGAAACACCAAGATCCACCAAAAGTCATCAAAGCTAAATTGTCTCCTTAATAGCCTTCGTAATCGACATGTACTCTACCTCCGTCGTTGACAAAGCCATTGTAGACTGTAAGGTGCATCTCCAACACACCGGCGCACGGGTCAAAGTGAACACATATCCTGTCGTCGACCGGCGTTTATCCAAATCTCCAGCGTAGTCCAAATTTACATATCCAATACATAGCTGCCCACCGCTAGTGTCCCGCTCAAAAATCAAACCAACGTTGAGAGCACCTCGAATGTACCTCAAAATTCATCTCACGGCATCCCAATCACCCGGACCTGGATCGTGCATGTATCTCAAAATCATGCTCACTGCCTGTGACAAATCTGACCTCGTACAAACCATAGCGTATATCAAACTTCCAACTTCGCTCGCATATGGAGCCTTTGACATCAGCTCTCTATCTTTAACTGTCTTCAGTGAAAGATCAGCTGAAAGCTTCAAATGGGCTCCCAATGGTACACTAACTGGCTTCGTCTCTATGCTCACATTGAACCGCTATAGAACCTTCTTCAAATAAGTCATCTGTGTCAAATAAATTCTGTCATTGTCTCTGTCTCTGCTGATCTCCATTCCTAAAATACGTTTCGCTTTACCTAAATTCTTTATCTCGAACTCGCTCGAAAGTT